TCTGCTCCCCTTGGCCTCCCAAAGTGCTGGGATTACAGGCGGGAACCACCTTGCCCAACCACTAGGGTCATTTTTGTAGCCAGGCATGTGTCTTTGATTCTACTATTAAAGATAAGTTATTTATTTTTTTTTTTTTTAGACAGAGTCTCACTCTGTGCACTCGCTGGAGTACAGTGGTGTGATCTTGGCTCACTGCAACCTCTGCCTCCCGGGTTCAAGTGATTCTCGTGCCTCAGGTTCCCCAGTAGCTAGGATTACAGGCGTGTGCCATCATGCCCAGCTAATTTTTGTATTTTTAGTAGAGACAGGATTTCACCATGTTGGCCAGACTGGTCTCAAACTCCTGACCTCTGGTGACCCACCCACCTTGGCCTCCCAAAGTGCTCGGTTTACAGGCATGAGCCACCATGCCCCACCTGAATATTTTAATATGAAATAAAATTTCAATCTAGTGTAGACTGGGGAAAACTTCAGGTAAATAATATTTCTTTCTAATGTAATACATTAACTGTGTACTCTCTAGGTTTTCATGAAGCTAAAAAAAATTTTAACCTTACCTGATTTCAACCCAAACAAGATTGCGCTGGTTTCTGTTGCTTGTTGCTCCCTGTGCCAGTGGGTTATAGCTTTGAATAACTACCATGAAGTACAGAAGGTATGCTTTTCCTCCTAAACATCTGTCATGATTTGAAAGTGGCATGTCAATGTCCCAGAAATAATTTTTATTTAACAATACTCAAGTGAACTTGAGTGGAAAGGATACCTAAGGAGAAACACTTTAATCAAATATATTATTCTAACTCACACAGATGTCAAGTGCTCCCATTAAATTTGTTATTTATTGACAACTATGCTAGTATTTGTTTATTTCATTTTATTGTTTCACCATAATAGGCTACTTTGTACACCACATATATACATAGTTCTAGGAAAGTTTAATTGTAACAATGGACATCTGTAAATGTCTTTCAAATATAAATGACATTTTTAACGGTACACCTGACTTTTTTTTGACACTTAAATGTTCTGACATTCTCTTTAAGGTTGTGGGCCCTAAACAAATCCAAGTAGCTGAAGCTCAAAACGTCCTTAAAATTGCGCGACAAAGACTGGCTGAGAAACAAAGAGGTTTACAGCTGGTAAGAAATACTTTTACTTGTTCAGTTCTCACAATAAGACAAAACACCAGGACAATGTAATTATCTCAGGAGAGCTTATCAGTTTCAGATAAAATGGAAATAATAATATAGGTAGTGAAAAGATTAATTGTGAGGATTAAGTAAATAATATTATTGGTAATAATATTAATAATATATATAAAACTTTTAGTGCCTACCACATAATAAAACACTCTATAGAGTTCATTATTATTGTCTTTATAATATTTTAATTTACTATTTCACCAAATTTCTCTCAGGAGATCTCTACAACTTCAGTTTACCAAAGCCTTAA